TTTGGGGTTTCATCTTTCAACTACAAGTTTCCCCCTCAGATGCACACATATAACTTTTGAGTTTTCTGGGTTTGTTTTCTTGTAAGCATTTCAAATTATGCTCGTGGAGCAGAATCCCAGCTAACATGGACTCACTTTGCTCTTGACACTCGCCCTGGTCAGCCAGATTAGACCTGCTTACCTTCGAAACCTCCTACAATTCTAATGTTATAAATAACATGTAGTGCATGATATTGTCTGACACAGTGAATGCACTTTCGTTAGGTGTGAACCAGGTTCTCTTGACTGGCTCTATTTTTATATGACAAAGCTGAGACTTGTAAGGCTTAGTTGATTTGCCTATTTTAGTGAAGCCAGGATTTCTGACTCCAGGAACTTTGTTCTTTTATTTTTCTTCTTTCACACCCTCTCTTCTCCCCCGCCTTTTTTTTTTTTTTTTTTTTTTTTTTTTTGGTACCTTATGGCAAATGTTAAACATCTACAAAAGTAGACAGACTACTATAGCAAACTCCCATGTACCTTTCACTCAGCTTAAAAAATTTTGAGTTTCTGGCCACACTCATTTCATTATACACTGGTGTCCCCCCTTCCTTATTACCTTGAAGCCAATCCTAGGTAGGCATGTAGCCTTTCACCTGTAAATATTGCAATACGGATCTGTAGCAGAAGCTCTTGGTGCTCCGTGTCACCTCTGTATGTCCATCTCTGATTTCAGATGTGACTGTGGCAGAAGTTTCTGTGGGAGCTCAAGCTTTCACCGATAGTAACATCACTCCTCAAGTATGTGTCGTGTATGTTTCTGCTTTCAGCCTCAGAATCTTCTGAAATGTGGGGAATCATCAACACTGGAGTTACCAGCTCATCCAACAGGAAATGGGGGGAGGGGAGATAATGTCCCAACCTCCTGTCAGTAGATGGACAATTCTGGGGGGGCATTTGGGACCTTCTCAGCCGTCTGTATAGGCTCGAACCCCCATTGCCCACTGCTGTGACCTTGTAACATGACCTTGACTGGCTTTTGCTCTTCCTCTGACCTACTCTTCCTGATGCCTCACTCTTGCTTCCTGGAATTACCTCCCCACAAAAAATGACCTGAACTCAGGTCCTTTTCTCAGGCTCTGGTTTTAGGAACAGCTCCATATTTCTAGGCCTTTCTATGTCTTTTTAGGGAACAGAATGTGGAGATCTGTTTTATTTGTTTGTCTGTCTTAAAATAAAATACATTTTGAGTTCATACTGATACTTCTTTAAACCAGCACTGTTTTTCTTAATTGAGGATGGATCACGAGAATTCTCGTGTTTTCTGTTCTAAGGCTTGTGGCCAATCACAAGAATTCTTTAAAAAGATATTAGCTTGTAAGAATGTGTAATAAATAATTTCAAAATGCAATGGATATTTAATTTTAAAGTGTGCCTTTAACATTTATGTAAAACATTTTTTTTACTCATCCAATAGAAACTTATCTGGCCACTGGGTAAAGCTAGCAATAAAACTACTGGTCTACAATGTGTTAAGATATTCGATCTCACAGCTGTACCTCTTTTCTCCACTTTCCAGTTCTCAAGGATACCTGAGATACTACAATTAGAAAATCACATAATGACTTGTTTGCTTTATCCCATAATACACATAAAAATCTAAAAATAGCTATTTCAACATAATCACTAACAACATGTTTACTGTAACCAGTTTGAAACTTGGATTTTGTTTTGTAACTTTTTTTTTTGTCCTTAGAGTTTATCCTGCAAGGAATGTGCCTTATAAAAGGCACCTGATATTTTTCTGTGTAAGAGAACATGAGGTATAAAGGAGTCTCATCAGAAAACAGAGGGTGAGGGCATGAACGGGTTTGGTGTAGGGGGCTATGGGGGGATAAGGACACATATGTAATACCTTAATCAATAAAGAAAAAAAGAAAGCAGGTCTGTTGCACACACTGCCGTGTCCATTTGGAATTTAGGGCTTCCCATTGACATAGGAGCAACCAGAGATGCTTAATGTGAACCTGATCCAGGTTGAGGGCCCAGCCTCAACATAGGGCCATTTTACATGTGAGCCTTCAGTGCTGTGGCCCCTCTGTCCATCTTGAGTTGACAACAGAAGCCCAACGTAAGAAATTAAGAAATTTCTTGTATCAAAAGTCAAGGAGGCATTCTCTTCTTACCTGTTAGTTTGGAGCAAGTCTGCCCTTGGAAATAAGAACCCTCTAAAAGAAAAGTAAGTCCATGCCTCATATTTATCTGGTGGCTACCACTATGCCTACTGTGCAGGCCCAGTTTCTGGGGCCATGGAGGCTTTAAATAGCCTCCTCCATCAGCTGTTTATCCTACTACTTACCCCCCCCCCCCTTTTTTTAAAAAAAAAGAGAAAGGATTTTATAGCTAAAAGTCATTAAAACCCATTGGCTTGATTTATCTCTCAACCCTATATACACACACCTACCCATCCATGAAATGGTCATAATTCTAAAAGACCCTCAATAAGACAACACAAACAACTCCTATATGCCAGGCTCTATAGCAGACTCTGGGATATAGAGAAGAATAAGGCACAATTAGCCTTATTTTGATTCTTGTATATTTTCTCTTCTCATTGCTCAGATGACTGCCAAGTTGCACAGGCAGTCCAAAGACAGAAGACCATAAAAATGTTTGGGCAGATCGGTGATTCCATTCTCTATCCCTCATCTGCAAAATTAATGCTGCTAGTGGGGTGGAGGCGGGTGAGGCAAGACTGTTTCAAATTATCTAGATACCCCTGGCTTCCTGTCTGAGCTATGCATCGATAAGTGGTTTCAGAGGAAGAGATAAATTGACAGTTTAACACATTGTGCAATATCTGAAGGGGGCAGATAGTCAATATTCATTGTATCTGCAACTAGGTACAGATTCTTGGAGGCTCTGGGTTGTCTCCAGGCTGCCCCAACTTTCTGTGTTCTCTCCAAACCCTGACAGTGCCTACAATCAAGCTCCTCTGTCCAATAAGGGTGGATTCCTCTCTGCTGCATGGAATTGATGGCAGGTGAAATTATTACAGGACATGAGAGAGTCTATCAATTTAATTTCCTCTGGACAAGTAATCCTGCTTGGTAGAGAAATAGCCTTGAAAAAGACAGACTTAAAATTGAGAAAAGAATAAGATTCCCCATCCATACATTTTGAACTGTAAAACAAAGTCACCGAAAAGAAAATAGAGAGCCTGCCCTGGGAACCAGACATATTGATTCATCAGTGTGGTATTTAAAAAAGGAAGGAGGCGTGGCTCAGTGGTTGAGTGTCAACCTACAAACTGGGAGGTCATGGTTCGATTCCTTGTCAGGGCATATGCAGGGGTTGCAGGCTGGATCCCCAGTGTGGGGTGTGCAGGAGGCAGCTGATCAATGATTCTCTCTCAGCATTGATGTTTCTATCTTCCTCTCCCTCTCCTTTCCTCTCTGAAATCAATAAAAATATATTTTTTAAAGGAAAGAAAGAAGAATGCTTCAATTTTATCCTTTGGCACATGTTCCCAGGGAGAGGCAGTGGGAGATTCAGAATTTAGGAAAATGAACAATGAACTTTTCATTACCAACTTTAATTTTCCTCTTTCTCTCCTCTGCTTCTTTCACAGAAACTCAGAAAATGCCCTTTATCTATTTGGCTGGGCTTTTCTTCCACCCTTCTTGCACTGAAGACTCCCTGAAGTTTTCCCCAAATTGTGCTTAAGTCTCTGCCTGGAGCTGTTTTCCCTGCTTCTCACCTGCTAATTTCCCCTCATCCTTCAGGTCCCTGATCAGACATCACCCCCTCTGGGAAGATTTTCCCCCCAGAAGTGGATTGGTTGTCCTTCTTCTGAGCTTCCTTCACAATGTCACAGCACAGATAATCATCTTTTTAGAACAGCCGTGGGCAAACTACGGCCCACAGGCCGGATCCTGCCCGTTTGAAATGAATAAAACTAAAAAAAAAAAAAAAAAAAAAAAAAAAAAAAAAAGACCGTACCCTTTTATGTAATGATGTTTACTTTGAATTTATATTAGTTCACACAAACACTCCATCCATGCTTTTGTTCCGGCCCTCCGGTCCAGTTTAAGAACCCATTGTGGCCCTCAGTCAAAAAGTTTGCCCACCCCTGTTTTAGAAGTCAGCCTCTTTCTCAAGACTGAAGGCTCCTTGAGTGCAGGCAGGGTCAAGTTTGATCTCCATATCCTCACTGCCACATCTTGCACCTGGATTACAGGAGGTGTTCAGTTCAATTTGTATGAAAGGTGATGAGATGAATGAATGCCTGTCAGTTGTGAAAAAACTTCCCTTGGAGTATACTCTGATGACCATGGTTTAGCCATCTTGCCTGAGCATCTGCCTGTTGTCTTTTACACAATTCATCAAGCAATTCAATCAGGTAAGGTTTTCTGGCTGGATGTGTTCAATGCCCTCTGGCAATGAGATAGCCTGGCCAGGTCATTCCCTAGCTTAGCATCCTCTCATGGTCCCTCACTGCCAACTCACTCAGGTCTCAGTGACTTAGCGAATCATCCACATCTCTTTGTGGTTGGAACTCACGTAGTCTTTCCAGCCCCATTTTGTGCTTCAGTCTCTCCATTATCCCAGAAACACTTCTTCTGGTCATACATATTAAGCTGTTTCCTTTGCCATAATGCTCTACTTTTGTTCTCTGCCTAGAGAATTCCAACTCTTCCTTTATGACCCCACACAAATGTCACTCTCTTTGAAAAGCCTTTGCAGATTTCTTCAGAGAGCTCGTCAGTTGCTTTCCTGTGTAACCTTAACAGTTTGTCATGTTGACCGCAGTCCAACTGGGGAGACAGGTTTGTTAAAGAGAAATCTTACACAGTATAAGTGATGTTTCCACACATGCTGTGCTTTACCCATTACAGTACTCTCCCCATCCCTAAAAATATTCTATGTTCGGTTCTTAATCAATGTTTGTTGCAAAACAGAATGGCAGGCAAGCAGAACAGGTTATAGCGTGTTATTCCTTAGGGTCTTTTATTCCTCCAGGAGAAGTGAGGGACATCACCGCAAGTCAGTAAGGAGACAAGTCTCCTTCTCATCACTCAGGTTTGTGCTCACAGGGCATCTCCTCTGAGAGGCCTTTGGGTGGCCACTTGTCTAGATGCGGTCCTGTTGCCCTATGTTGTTTCTTTGTGATACTCCCAGTCTTTATTTTGCTTCTTCTAGTCCGAATTCTCTATGGAATTGGTAACTCTAACTTGAGCCCTTTATGGAAGACAGTCTTAAATTAGTGTCATTTTTTCCATGTCTCTGTAGTGGGGGTTTTGCTCACTATGGGTAGATGCCATGCCTCATGGATGAATATATTTCCACAACAGTAGCACCAGGACAAGCCCTCACCTCAGATATGATGGGTGGCTGTTGCCAAAGTGCACCAGTGCCCCAGGCCACAGTCCCTATAAACGTGGTCTATTTAATCCTTGTAACGATGCTCTCTAGGAGTAGAAATTATTTTACAAGCAAGGGCATTGAGATCAGAGAGTCTGAGTCATCTACCCAAAGCCACACAACTGATAACAGGCAGAACTGGGACTCTACCAGGATTCAGCCTGAGCCTTTTCAGCCTTGGCTTGGAGAATGTGCTCCCAGCAGAAGGATACTCAAAGCCAAGGCTCAGTGGCCATTGATGGTAGACATGGAATCCTGCTTCTGAAACTATTTTCATTCTCAGATCCATACACTTTAGACTGGCTTCTAAGTGCCAGCAACAGATGGCTCTCTACCTCAGGGCCCATTAGAGGGTCATGAGTTAGGGAATTCTGGGTCCTCATAAGTGTGCCAAAATTCACTGGCTAGGAACAGGACAAGAGTTGTTGTGCTCTGCTGTGTTCTGTCTTGGGACTCAGAGCAGCTGGGGGAGAAACAGGGAGAGGAGGCAGTCAAGTAGTTTAAGTTCCTGCCAGCAATAGACGCAATATCTCTTCCCTTGAGTTTAGCATCTTGGAGAAAAAAAAAGTCCTCCTAATTTTAGAAAGAACTCTTTATTTCTAGATATTTACAAGTTCCCTTTTGATCGGAAAGAACACCATGGAATTTAGTTTTAAGTTATTTATCTTTTTAAACACAGAATTGAAAAGGAGAAAATAAAGGTCACTTGTATAGAAAGAGGCTAGATGTAACAAATGTTACTAGTGGTTTTCTTCATTAGAGAGATTATTATGTTTTAAAAACATCTGTGATCAGGCTTTATATATATTTTTAATCCTGATTTATTTACTTAACACATCACAAGTGTTATTCTCATGTCTTTACATATTCCTCATGAGCATAATTTTCACTGACAGCATCATAAATACTTTATGGACATACCATAATTTGCTGCCATTTTTCTAGCATTGGACATTGAAATTCTTTCCAGTGTTATGTTTCGCTGCATTCCTGATCGCTGTGGTGGAGATTTTGTTTTCATGGTGGCCACTGGGAAGTGACCAACTTGTTCATTATCTTAATGGCCATCCTGAATAGCCATTCCAAATTTCCATGTGTTTATCGTGTCAGGACACCATGTGAAACTCCCTCTGGAGGTCATTATGGCTAAACAATGGTCCGCGAGGACTTTCAACACAGTCTTTGTCATATTTATGCTTTCTAGGAAAGGGTTGCTCTCCCACAACTAAGTTTTCTGAATTAATGCAGTTCTCCATGGAAGCCTAGGGGAAACAAGATCTCTTATTTAATGAGGGACCGTCAGCTCAGTTAATGCTGATTTCCACATCACCCAACAGAGCTTTGGAAATAATATTCTTTTGCTTTTGTGTGTAGTCCTGTGGAATAATGATGTTAACACCTCCAGGAGACTTGACATCCAAGCCTGAAGTGGAGACTGTCATTAGTTAAAAAATCATGATTATGTGAATTTAATCAAGCTTTTTTTTTCTGGCAAAGTTTATTGCCATCCTTTTTAATTCATCAATGTCTTGTTCTTACTCCCTCCCCTCCTTCCCAATAGAGTTGGCTAGTAAAGTTACTGCAATTAATTTTTAAAAAATGGAATTGAGACAGGGTGAAGAGGTAAGAAGCAACTTTTTAAGGAGACAGCATTGAAATGGCCCAGATTCTGTTGTGGTGCCCATCTGCCTGGTTCTCTGGCCTCGGTGGAATCACGCCTCTGTCACCTCATGCTCCTTTGGTTTCCTCGACTTGCCTTCTGTGGAGCAGCACCTCATTCTCTGGATTTTCTCTTTACCTTAAAAATCACAAAGGGAGATTATGGAGCACTTTTAGACCTGCGAGAGCCAATGATGAAGCCAAGAGGTGACCTTGACCCCTCCATCTCCAAAGTCACCCTCAATAGTAATAATCCTATTGGTGAGAAAAATGACAGCAAAAACAGAGACAAATAGCATTTTCTTAGTCTGATGGAAAGCATCTTTAGAAAATGTTTCCATTCCTATTGATTCGAATCACATGCTGTGGGAAAAGTGAATGTGCTCGCTGTGCAAAGGCTGCTTCACAACAACCGTTTGCCAACTAGCGTGCTGCCATCAGGCCCCTCCTGCGGACACATCCTGGATCTGCGTAAAGAAGTGGCTTTTAATTGACTTTTGGATTATGGGTCTCTTTGAGACTCTGATGGAAGCTGTGGTTGCTCTGCCAAACTCAAGGTGTGTGCAAATTTAGTGTTGCAACGCAGTTCTGCTGCTCCAATCCCAGTGTCATTCAAAATATTCCTTGTTTACTGGGCCTTTAAAACAAATGCCATCTTTTTAAATGTATTAATTTTGATGTATGCAGACCTAGCAACTTTAAAAAATATATAATTTCAGAGAGAGGAAGGGAGAGGGAGAGAGATGGAAACATCAGTGCTGAGAGAGAACCATCCATCAGCTACCTCCTGCAACCTGGGCATGTGCACTGACCAGGAATTGAACCATGACCTCCTGGTTCATGGGTCAACACTCAACCACTGAACCACACCGCTGAGCACAAAATACCATCTTTATAACAATTGTTTTCTTTAGCAACTTCCTAAAAATATCTTCTCTTCCGTTGCTCTTTATATTTTATGGCAAAACATATTATCCAAAGTCCCAAGTCAGAGTAGATTCAATGGGGCAGTATCCTTGGAGAGAAGTCAACACTACCTCCTGAAAACAAAAGTAAAGTGAGCGTTTTGGACCTGCTGTGGGGAAAACTGTTTGGTGTTGGACACGAACAAAAACCCTGTGCCAATGGGGTCTTATCTCAGTGGCGCTGCAGAGGACCGGTTCCATGGCCGGGGACACAGATTGTACCGTAGAATTCCAAAGCATTTCATTGCAGTGTTTCATTGCCCTAACCGTTCCAAAATGGCGAGAGACATTTCCTGCACCTCAGTGTTTCTCAAGGCAAATATTATTCTCTTACCCTCCAAAGACATCTACTATGGAAACTTTGGAACAAAGATAAATGAACCCATCCTCTGTTTACTGTAATTCCCTTAACTGCTAAATTATCCCATGCTGTTTGTCTTCTACAGTATTTTTGTGAAGTTGAGACCTGGAACAGGTAAGGTTCTCTGGGTTGTGTCAACAGGATTATCACAAATCCTCTTTCTAATAGCTCTGCGTGCCCTGGCATACATCAAAGTCCCAGTTTCAGCTGCTAGACTCTCCATATTCGTGAATTATCTGCATATAAAAACTAGGGTTTTATTTGCATATGGATTAAAATACAAAGTGATGTGAGCTTTCCTTCAGTTTATGTTCCTCAAAGTAGGGGTATAAATGGGCTACGTTTTCCATGCAATTTTATTTTAACTTATAGTTGAAAGCATAGTTTACTTTTTCCTAATTATAAATATAGTATGTGCTTATTGTGAAAATTGGAAAATGCAAGATAATAAGAACAAAAACATCTTCCACAAGTTTGCCACTCAGTTGTGTCTGGATGTGCTGACATTATTATGGCTTTCCCCCCAGAAGTTGTCAGGATTCTGTATATACAATTTTATTCTTTTCTTGAAATTTAATATGATGATATTTGCATTTTACGTTTTATGATATTGTTTCTATATCATTTTTAAGAGCTGCATAATATTCCATCACAAAGGTGCATTATAGTTATATAGGGGCTATTTAGAATGTTTCCTTTTATTAATTTTATTATTTTTTTTGGTGCTGTTTATTATACTGCGTTGAAGATTTTTGTGCATTACGTGTTGGGTAACTGCCCTTAAATACTTATTGCAAGTGGTATGACTAGTTCAAAGGGTTCTTTTTTTAAAATTACCTTTATTGTTGAAAGTATTACAGATGCCCCCTCCCCATTTACACCCTCTTCCCTACTCCTGCCCCTTTCCCAGGCCTTCATAGCACTGTTGTCTGTGTCCATGGGTTACACATATATGCATCTAAGTTCTTTGGTTAGTCTCTTCCCACTCCCCTCTCCCACACACACCTTCACTCTGAGAATCGTCAATCTGTTGTATGTCTCTGGATCTATTTTGTTTGTTAGTTTATTTTGTTCATTAAGTCCACATATAAGTGAGATCATGTGATATTTGTCTTTCTCTGACTGGCTTATTTTGCTTAGCATAATACTCTCCAGGTCCCTCCATGCTGTCTCAAAGGGTAAGAGATATTTCTTTTTTATAGCTGCATAGTATTCCATGGTGTAAATGTACCACAGCTTTTCCATTGTGTAAATGGACCACTGATGGGCATTTGGGCTGTTTTCAGATCTTAGCTATTGTAAATTGCACTGCTATGAACTTAGGGATGCACACATTCTTTCTGATTGGTGTTTCGGGTTTCTTAGTATATATTTCTAGAAGTGGAATCACTGGGTCAAATGGTAGTTTTATATTTAATTTTTGAAGGAAACTCCATACTGGTTTCCATAATGGCTGCACCAGTCTGTATTCTCACCAGCAGTATACTAAGTTACTTTTTCTCTACATCCTCGCCAGCACTTGTTGCTTGTCTGTTTATTAATAATAGTCATCCTGGCAGGTGTGAGGTGGTACCTCATTGTTGGTTTAATTTGCATCTCTCTGACTTAGTGATGTTGAGCATTTTTTCATGTGCCTCTTTGCCATTTGTATGTCCTCTTTGGAGAAGTGACTA